ATTGGGGAATTGGGGGATGGGAACAGCGCTGGGGAATTGGGGGAAGGGGAATGGACAAGTTGCTGTCGTTTTGTTCTTCAGTCTAGTTGTGGAGGATGTTGCTTCACTGGCCCAAGTTGGCACCATCATTGTGCTCTTCCCGGGTGAGGCAGATCAGTCGCCGGTTTCTGGAAGGCCGTTCACTGCGGCTGCTGGCCGCTCACGCTGGCTGCTGGCTACACACGGTAGCCCATGGCAACCCACTGCAGCAGGGGCTGCAACCTTCGCCATCGCTGGCAACTAAGGGCAGCCCAGCTCCAAGTTGAGCTGTTGTTCAGCATCTTAGCTGTAGAGGGCAGTGTCACTGGCCCTCATATGTGGGATCCGAACCGGGTCCTCTGGCCTCCCAAGCCAGCTCTTAACCAACGCCACTCGGCCGGCCCTGAATTGCATTTCTATACACTAACAATGAACAATCCAAAAAGGATATTTCATTTATAATAGCATCAAAAAGAATAAGATACTTAGGAATTAACTGAACCAAGGAGGCGAAATACTTATATAATGAAAACTATTAAACATTGCTGAAACAAATTAAAGAAGATATAAATAAATGGAAACATTCTATGTTTATTGATTGTGACTTAATATTGTTAAGGTGTCAGTACTACCCAAAGTGAACCACAGATTCAATACAATCCCTATCAAAATCGCAACTTTTTTTTTTTTGCGAAAATAAAAAACCCTATCCTAAAATTCATATAGAATCTCAAAGGACCCCAAATAGCCATACAATCTTGAAAAAGAACACCAAAGGTGGAGGACTCATCTAACTGATTTCAAAACTTACTACAAAGCTACAGTAATCAAAACATTGTGGTACTAGAATAGAGACAGATATATGTAGACCAATGGAATAGAGAGCCCAGAACTAAGCCCTCGCATATATAGTCAAATGATTTTTGGCAAGAGTGCTAAGACCATTTAATAGGGAAAGGATTGTATTTTCAACAAATGGTTCTGGGAAAACTGGATATTCACATCCAAAAGAATGAAGTTGGACCCTTTCTAACACCATATGTAAAAATTTAAGTCAAAATGGATCAAAGATCTAAATGTAAGAATTAAAACTATAAAATTGTTAGATGACAACATAAGGCAAAAGCTTCATCACGTTGGATTTGGCAATGATTTTTTGAGTATGATACCAAAGGCACCAGCAGCAAAAGAAAAAATAAACAAATTGGTCTTAATGAAATTTTAAAAATTTTGTGCAGAATAAAAAGGCAAACCAAAGAAAGGAAAAATATTTACAAATCACGTATCTGATAAGAGATTAATATCCAGAATGTACAGAGAAATAAAACTCAACAGCAACAAAAAACAACTGGATTAAAAAATGGGAAAAAGACTTGAATAGAAATTTCTCCAAAGAAGATATACAAATAGCCAATAAAATGAGTACATAAAAAGATGCTCAACATCACTAATCATTATGGAAATTTCAATTAAAACTACAATGAGATACCACCCCACACCTATTAGGATGGCTTCTGTCACAAAAACAGAAAATAAAAAGTGTTGGTGAGAATGTGGAGAAATAGGAACCTTTGTGCACTGTTGGTGGGAATGTAAAATGGCACAACTGCTATGGAAAACAGTATGGCCATTTCTCAGAAAATTAAAAATAGAATTACCATATGATCCCGTGACGCCACTTCTGAGTATATATTCCAAAAAACTGAAGTAAAGTTTCAGAAAGATATTTGTATACCCACGTTTATAGCGGCATTATTCATTTTAGCTGAAACACGGAAGCAACTGAAGTGTCCATCCATGGATGAATGGATAGGCAAAATGTGATGTGTAAATACAATGAAATTCATTATGTTTACAGTACAAGACAATTAAGCCTTAAAAAGAAAGGCAGTTCTGACATGGGTATAATATGGATGAACCCTGGGAACATTATGCATGCTAACTCTGATAAGCCAATCACAATAGGACAAATACTGTATGATCCCACTTATATGAGACACTTAGTGTTATTATAGAGACAGAACACAAAATGGTTGTCAGAGTCTAGGGAGAGGAGAACGGGGTGTTATTTCATGGGTAGATTTTCAGTTATATAAGATCAAAAGAGCTCTGGACATGCTGTAGTGATGGCTGCACATTATAAATATATTTAATACTACTGAACTATGCATTTAAAAATAGTTAAGATGGTAAATTTTACGTTATATGTATTTTACCCCAATAAAAATTACTGTGAGATAAATGAGATTTTATATTTATAGTACATAATAGGTATTTGGTTTTTGAGGGAGAATTTACTTTTTATTTATTTATTTATTTTTTAGCTGAACCATTCTGCCACCTGTTGGCAGCTCAGCTTGATCCGGGGATTGAACCAGTGACCCTGTTGCTCAGAGCTTGCACTCTTTTTTTTTTTTTTTGTCATGATGGAGGATGATTCACCACACTCTTTATTTATTTATTTATTTATTTATTTATT